AAGAAATTTGCTTTGGTGTCCTCTCAGGTAGGTTCTCCACCGCAGAGGACACAGAAGCATCATCTGCAGTCAGCTTAGGTAGTAGGTGTGTGAGCCTCGCCCAGCTTGCTGTTGACTCTGGGCCCTGAAGGACTTGGGAGCTGTCCTCTGGAAACAAGGACCAGACCATTCTGGGTCTCGATCCTGGATCAGCCCTTCGGAAAGACTCCTGTCTCTTCTCCCAGAGAAAGGTTGAGACGGGCGGCCTCTGAGCAAGCTCAGGTTGCCGGTGTTATTCTGGAAGATGGTATTTATTGCTTTCCTCCAGCAAAGAATCAGAGTGACACGGAGGATGGGATGGCGAAATTGGGCAGCCTCCCTGCCCTGGGTCAGCCTTTCTTTGTGGCTGTTGCAAAGCATTGTGAATTCTCAGAGCGTCAGGAAGACACGTTCTAATTTAAGTACCAAAATACATTCCAAAGGCAAATATAACTTTTTATTATCTTCCGCTTAGGATGATTTGTCACTGTCTTCTTCTTTGGGCTGGATAACCAAGAGTTGACTATACAGACATATTTAAATCAGGACCTTGGGAGGTCACTCGGTCCACCCCTTGCCTTCCAATAAGGCCATACCTGGAGTATCTGGAGGCTCCATTACTGGCAGCCGGGCAGGGGGGCGTGCGCTCCTGCTGCCATCCGGCCTGTTGAGAGCCCATCTGAGTCATCTGAATCCCTTACGTGAGAGCTTAATAAGCCTTTTTTATTAGCTTTTCTTTTTCTTTGGTAGTTTTGTAGTTTTTGCTGTGCTCTATTGCCTTTGAAGCTGTAAACCAAGTGGTCACCGTCCTTCCATATAGTGAGGCTAGGATCACGGCCCTCCCTTTCATCTCATGTGGATTCCTTGGCAACATTTTTTATTTTGACTCTTATTCTATTGCATCCACCGCACGCCCAAATTTAACTCTGTTTCCTCTCTGTGTGATTGCAGGCTCTCTGTTTATGAATCATGTAGCAGGAACCGAGATTTTTAAAAAATTGAATTTGAATGCCTTCACCCAGGGCACCTGTGGTCCTTCCCTTGCCCGGCCTCCTCTCGCTTACCTTCCAGACCTTTCCATTACCTGGCCCCTGGGATAACGGAGGGCTCTTCAGTTTATAAGGCGCCCAGTATTTGAACTTGTGTTGCATGTGTTGACCTTGTAGTGTGTCTGACTCCAGCCCTGTTGCTTTGAGTATTTACTCTTTGAATAGGTTTGTTTTGTTTTGCTTTTTTGGTATCCTCATTCTGGGTATTGACGGCATTGATTTTGAGCATGTGGCGGGTGGGTCTGTGTTGTGTTTCAGAT